CCCCTTCCTCCATCTCTCTTTCTCCATCTTTCTCCATCTTTCTCCCTTTCTCTCTTTCTCTCTTCCCCAGCTTTCTCTCCTCTCTCTCTCCATCTTTCCCTTTTTCTCCATCTTTCTGTCATCTTTCTCCCTTTCCCTCTCTCCCTTCTACATCTCTCTCTCCATCTTTCCCCTTTTCTCAAACTTTCTTTTTCTCTCTTTCTCTCTCCTCTCTCCTTTCTTTTTCTCTCTCCTCCATCTCTCTCCCTCCATCTTTCTCTCCCCTTTCTCTCTTTCCCTCTCTCCCCTCTCTCCATCTCTCTCTCTCTCCATCTTTCTCACCTCTTTCTCCATCTTTCTTTCTCTCTCTCCCCCTCTTTCTCCGTGGGTCCCTCTTTCTCTCTCCCTTTTCCATCTCTCCCTCTGTCTTTCTCTCTCTCTCCCTCCATCCCTCGTCTTACCTGTCTCCCCAAAGGGATCCTTGGGACGAGACCCCTGGCTCTTCCTCCCCCCTCCTTCAGCCTTAAGAGAGGGCAGCTTCCTCGGGCCTTGCACCCCAAACGGCCCGGTGGGGGGCGCACAGTCTCCCCAAAGTGACCAACTCTCTCTCCCCCCCCCTCCCCACCATCCCTTCTGCCGCCCCCTGCCTCGTTTTAAACCTTCCTCGCCCAATTCTGCCCGCCTGGGCCCATCGTCCCCCTCCCCAGAGTGCAGGTGGGGGCTCCTGTCATTGAGACCTTGGGGGGGGGGAGGGAGGGCAGGTATAGGTGACACCCTTCCCTTCCCCTCCCTCTCTTTCAGCCTCTCACCTGGATCCCCAGGGGCTCCACCTTCCACACGGCCAAAGTCGAAGTGGCCTTCGCTGCCCCTGGGTTGGACACCCGTCTCCATCGTCGGTGGCTGCCGAAGGGGACCGGCGGAGGTGCGTGCCCAGGGCAGCAGGTAAAATAAGGGGCGGGGGGTGCAGGTTTTGGGGGTGTCATGCCAGGGGGGGCCAAGAAGGAAGCAGCTCCTAGAGGTAGAGCTCTTGCCTCACAATCAGGAGGCTGTGAGTGTGATTCTAGGTAGAGGCTAATAATTGAGCAGCGGGTTGGACTAGATGACCTCCAAGGTCCCTTCCAACTCTTTGTTATTCTATGGAATTTCTATGGAGGAAGCGAGGAGCGTTTGCAATAGGAAGGGGGAAGTTTTGGAAAGCAAAGCGGGAAAAGTCACTAAAGAAAAGAAGCTTAACATTTCCCCAAGGATGTGTTTGCAGCTGGTCCTCACCTTACGGCCATTCGTTTAGTGACCATTCAAAGCTGCAAACGGCCCTTAAAAAAAGACAACTTGCGATGGTGACTGTTTTTTTAATCTCACTTGTGATTGTAGCGGCATCCCCGCAGTCACATGATCAAAAATCTGGCCGCTGATTCGTATTTATGACGGTCGCAGCATCCCGTCATCCCCTTGTGCGACCTTCCGACAACAGGGAAGCCTGATTCACTGAACAGTTGTGTTGCTCACTTAACAACAGCGGTGATTCACTTAACAACCATGGCATCAAAGGTCATAAAATGGGCCCCCTGAAACTCACTTAGCAACCATCTCACTGAGCGGCAGAAATCTTGGGCTGAATTGTGGCCGCAAGTCAAGGACCTGTCATTTAAGAGGCAATTTAAGGATGCAATTCATCCCTGGAGGCTTTCAAAGAAGAGACTGGACTGCCCTCTGTCAGAAATGGTGTAGGCAGGATCCCCAGCTTGGACGGGGGCTGGGGTTGGACTAGATGACCTACAAGGTCCCTTCCAACTCTGTTAATCTTCTCCTCCTCCTCATTATTATTGGTTAATCTTTACAGAGATTCATAGCTGTTGGGGCTGGTGGTTGGTAGCTCAACAACTTGAGTCGTAATCAAGGACCTAGGAACTGGTATTCTCCTTCTCCTCCTCCTCCTCCTTCCTTCCTTCTCCTCTTCCTCCTCCTTTTTTGTTCTTTCTTCTTTCTCCTCCTCCTCCTCCTCCTCCTCCTCATTATCATCATTTTATTATTATTTTATTATTGCTATTGTTAATATTGTTAATATTGTTGCTATTATTATTATTATTATTATTATTATTATTTTAAGACAAACCATCCCATCTTCCATTAAATAGTGTGTCCTCTGGGTACAAATATCTTGTGCAATAACCGTTAAAATGTAAAATTAATTCTAATCTAGTCTCCGGTTGGACTAGCGATGAAGCGAAAGATAAAAAATACTAAAATCAAACGCAAACTCCTTCCTGTCCCTCCAGAAGCTGCTCCCGCTCTGGGAGAGGCTGCCCATAGTCCAGCCATTGTGGGCACACGGTAGACGCCGCCGTGCCGTCTTCCTCCCTCGCCCGGCCCCAAGTGGCACCAAGAGACTGGCATCGAAGGCCGGCCGTGCCCCAGAGGACCAAAGCCGCTTGACCTCAGCTTGGCTCAACTTCAGGGCAGAGAAGGACCCTTGGAAGCTAGCTGACCTGGCCCGAAGGACCCTCCAGAATCTCCCGGGCAGTGCCAGCGTGGTCCCTGGGCACGGGGGTGCCACCAAACGAGGCGCACGACCACCTCTGCCCACCGCAACCACAGATGCCGGTGCAGCACACAAGGCCGGGTGCCGATGTCCAGACAGCCAGCGGGCTACTGTAGTGGCCCAGGAAGCGGAGGCTCGTCCGGAGGGTCTCCGTGTGCCCACCCCCCGCACAGAGGAAGCAACCTGGGCCGCCAGCGCCCTGATTTTTTTGCTGGTGCTCCTGACCCTAGCCATACTCTACACCCGTCTGCACCGGAAATGCCGCCGCGGGCCAAGCCTCTACTGGATGACCAGCAGCGAGGAAGGGCGCGAGACGGTGGCCAGTAAGTCGGGCCTGTGGGACCAGGGTGTGTCTTTGCGGGGTGGGTGGGAGGATAGGGGGTGGGTGGGAGAGGCAGCTGTGCCCGATTTGGGGAGTGTCCTGCCGAATACAGGCAGTTTAAACAGATTAAACAGATCATCACAGTTGGAAGGGGCCTTGTAGGTCATCTAGTCCATCCCACTGCCCAAGCAAGCGTTCTCGACTTAATTGACCCCGATGGGCATTCTTAAGGACCGTGCAATTCATTTCCCGAGCGCAGGGAGCTGCTTAACGGCCGGCTGACAGACGAGGTCATAAAATCGGATGCAGCTGCTTCATTTAGTGACAAA